ACAACTAGTAGCGAATTTGTTAAAGGAAAATTTAGAACTACCTGTATAAGATATCTGAGCTCTTTTTTGGAGGAAACTCGTTCTTCGTAGTTCCTCGTAAAGAAAACCTAATGGCTACGTAGACAATCAAGTACATTGTAATCATAGCAGCCGGAATAAAATACGATTGAATATTCATGAACTGAAAAGGCATTAAAGTCATTGGGCACAACTATTTTTGGAATCTTCGCAGCTCGCGAATAATCCCACATAAAATGGAACTTACGTCATTATAATGAAACTTCCCTGGGATTCTGTTGCTGCAGTTGTACCAGAAGTAAAACTCTGAAGCGAAGTACGAATTTCTTGGCAAGCATCACATTATAAAATTCTGTAGAAGAATATGGAATATCAAATCGATATGTACTGCTTATAATACAAACGATATGTAGCAGCTTTGAGCGAGCGCTAGCAGGGCGCATATTTGGGCTGTCTGTTGGGAGTTTTTCATGGCATACCAATAAGGTACAACTTTTGCTGAACTAGTGGGCAGACTACACTTTGCATTCGCACAGATCGTAAAGTGAATTGGCCCACGCGCAAAAAAACTATGAATTAACTCGGTACAAAACGTACTACCCATCCTTGGCAGGACCCACATGCGTGAGAAACCATCTACATCAACGCTTTCATCCCACCGTAGCGCCACTGTCCCTAACTGATAATCTCCTAGTGAAGGCGATCCGTGCAAAGCCGTACAAGTGCAACCGAAATTCGTTTTCGAAATCGCTTGTACTAGCAGCAAGGCCGCAGTTGGCTCATTCTACCAGGCTTATGCACAATTATTTCAACCGTTCTGCATAAGGCGGGAATTTGTGTTTTTCGTACCTTTTGCAGGATTTTTCAGCACACTTGAGGTTCAGTTATCTTCTTTTTGAAAGCACCCAACAACACACTTTTTGGTCTCTCGGATGTTCTTTTGGCAACTTACAGACCTTTTTCCAACTACGAAGAACTGTACGTAAGTTCAACATTTGTTGCCTAATATGTTACTCAGTTTGTTCCCCCCATGTCCTAACGGCTGTTATTATTGAAACTGTTCAACGAACCATCCTTAGCGAACTGTTTGCGACATCCATATAGATTCGACAATCCAATAAAAATGAACACATAAATCCAAATAAACAATGACATTCTGAACAATAACACACGTCATGAAATTGAAAACTTCTTGCGCTCCTTCAGTTTTTATTGAATAACTGATTGAGGACACATGTGGAGACAACACAACCGGTTTGTTCGCAAGCTTCAGAGGTTTTATCACTATTGCATGACAGTAGTTCAAAGGGCGCTGTGGTCGTCATAATTGTCATGAATGCCGCCCTTGAGAGTGGCCTCACCCAGCCGAGGACGAGATAATTCTGCGGTTCCATAGTTGTAAATACATGTGTGACGCGCCGGGTCCGTCTGTGTAGGCCGAAGTTGCGGTCTCTCGTCTTTTAGCTCGTTTTCCTGTTCTACCTTAATCTTCGAATCCTTTCTTGTATACCAGTGACATCATGGCGCCCTATTCGAGAGGTTATCGGCGGTTTTGTCCGCTCCTCTCCCAACTGATTAATCAAAGCACAATTTTGATTGACCACGGATGTGATCGCGAAATGTGCCCTCTGGTGAAGTATCGCTTACATTCGTGTCCCCCAATATGTGAAGAGTTTGTTGTGTGCTCGAGGAAATATAAACAATAGAAATCGGTTGATGCTCATGAAGAATGATAACAGAAATAAGCAGTTGTATGCGATTCCCTCAAAAAATAGTGGAGCATAGTACAACGCTATGCTGTCGCCCATGTACTGAAATGATTGTAATGATTTTGACAGTTGTCAAAGTAACGTTTTGATGCGCGAGAACCACTAACTGAGGAGGACAACCTATTCATATTATCAACGTGCTACCCTTAGGTGGTCATATGTATCTGGCACGTACTTCTTCCAGGTAGTACTACGACGAGTCCACTGATTCTAGTGGAATACGTGAATCCTGGCAAAAGCTTTGATGAGACTGGCCGCTCGAAAAGGCGGTTATGGATAGCTAATAGCGAGAAATTCTTGAGAACCTTTTCGCAGTATTCATTTATTCCATTCTTCACTCAATTCTGACTAAGTAAATTTTGACTAATTTTAAGCTCCAGGAGGGGAACTCATGTTAGTAAGGGAAGCATATTATTATCCCGCTTGTTCGAATCTACGTAGCCTAACGAATAGGATTCGGAGCTTGGCAAGCTGTTTGGAAACACAGTTACTGTGCGTTGTTCAGAAAATGGTGTAAGCGTATGTTCAACACGTAACTTCATGTCGTGATCAGTGTTTGTGCATTGCTGGATAATCATGCGTTTGTATGCGGTTCTCGTCGATTGTGTGTGCGATATGCTGTACTCATCCTGCACTCTTTGTGGCTTGATGTAAGGTTCCATTAGGGTTGTTTTATTTATTTTACAAACTAGCAGTCCATATAACAGTGATTGCACTTCATATGATTCATCAATTCATAACATCAGCTCATAATCAGCACAATGATAGTAGCACTCCTTATATCGTATTGCTTTTTGCTGTCTATTTTCATCAGTTGCTGGCAATGTGCGGATTTCGCATCAATTCCGTAAATCTGTTATTTGGTGTCCTTGCACAGGTGAGCCTCATATGAATTATAAAGCCCAAAAACTTCTTTTGCTATTCCAGGTTAGTTGGTCTGTAATTTAGGCTGTTTTCTAGACCGATGTATATAACTGAAAGCAGAATGAGCCTGCAAAGAGCATGCGGCAAAAAGAGTCCCATTACGTAGCGTTGCGAATTGCGGACAATTCACGCGCGCGGGAGGCAGAAAGCGCGAACGGCAGTCGAAAACACCGCGGCGTTCA